AAAGGGTGGGTCTTCAGAAGGGAAGAACCTGTTGCCGAGAATAAAAGCAGTAGACTGATAATGCTAACCTCTAGTGTCTTCCTTTGGCTTTTGAAGCACTTCTAGGACTATTGAACCTGAGGGCTGCTAGGAGTCAGGAACATGGCACTCCTTCATGAAGGGGAAGAAAGAGGGCATTGCTACAGGAGACAAACTAGGGTAAAATAGTTGAAGTAGCTTGACAAAATTGTTAATGCCTTCACATAAGGGATAGTATACCTCTGGCTGCAATCAAACTTCATTGTACTCAGACTGGTGATTTACGGTTTGTGCTCAGACAAGGTGCAGTTCTTCAGTCAACTACCTGCATATTCCTTCATCTCTTTACAAGTGTTTAGGCTAGCCTATTTTTGCCCCTTATTCTTCCACTTAATATTTTGGAATAATTTGTAAATTCCCCCTCATAACTAATCAGTCCATGTATCTTAAAACCTTATTTTTAAGTTAGTTTTGAAATGGTCAGAATTTTGTGTGTATTACTATAATAACTTCAGTTGTTATCCTTTAGGTGAAGATGAAAGCTGAGTGAAACCAGAGTGCTCATCCACAGGAAGTAAGCATAACTTCTAGTCTTGTTCTGAATGGGTGAAATAATAAAGGCTTCTGGACGCTTGATGTTCAGTCACTGACTGCCTTTGAATTGGTGAATATTGAGAAATTGGTACAAGTGAATACATGAAATGTGTAGGGTAGGACTTAGTACCTGCTGTCAAGCTGTGGGGTTAAGCACCCAGGCTCCATCTGGGCTTGATATCTTGACAGCAGTGGTTAAAAATACCTTTCTAGACATGGGTTTGTACAAAAGATTTCAAAATCACTGTGGGTATAACTTCTGAATATTTCTCCAGTTCAGGAGCCGAGCATGAGCACATCCAACATGATGCCCAGTGATAGATGGAGGGACCAAGATAACAAGTGAACAAGTGAGTAGTTGGTGTCCTTATACTGCTCTCAGAGCTCGGTAGTCCATCACCCTGTGATGTATTATGTAGTTTCTGCCTGAAATTTGCCATTGATTAATCTCAATTCTATATAAAATTTCTGAATCTTTCTTTTGTAGACCCAAGGTATAACCATTGTTTGAGGCTTTTCAGCCCTGCAGGATCAAATAAACGCTGTCCTCTGAATGCTATAGGTGGTCAAATGAGAAAAATAACCATTTCTACATTCAGGCTCCTGTGAATAGGGTGGGTGATTGTCAGCAAGGAAAAAGGGGAACAATAGAGCAGCTGCTTCTCAAATGTTACCCAACTAAAAGTTGTTAAAAAGCTACTTTCCTGAAATACTTTAATGAACATTGAACTTTCAAAATAACCTGGAATATAAATTAGCACATACAAGAGCACAAGCAGATAGCGATTTAGGGAAATAAATTAACTTGGAGAGCTGGAATTAATGAAATTTTCCCTCTAATTTACCACTTAAACTACAAGGGGGAACTTCAGATATTTAAAATCTTGTGTGAGGAGGAACATGGAAAGTGCCTTAACTCACAGGTGATGGGTGAGTAATGGCTTAGATATGCCATGACTGAACCTGTAAGATGTGAAGCCAGTGAGATTCAATCGGTGAATTCCTATTGAATCGTGTGTGGTTTGTCACCGCTGCTCTTGTTTCTAGGGTAGTAAAACACAAAGCCATTTCAGATCTTTGAAATTTATGAAGTAGATGAAAATGTGAATGCTGCTCGTTTCATCTCGAGTCTGATGTGAGAACATGTGATCCTAGAGAACATATGACAGGTGCACGGCCTGTTGCAATGCACCGATTCCCTTTCTGTGTCATTATGTGTGATTTCTGCTGGTGTTTTTAATGTTCTTGCTAACTACGTGCTTTGCACTTGCAGAAGAAGAAGAATGCAGTGAAGAGGAGCCTGGAACATAACATTTTTAAAAATAAAATATTTAAATTTTTTTATAAATGACTTCTGTTTTGTTCCAGAGTGTATTCAGTGAGTAAGCGATCTGTTCAGCATAATGTGGTATGGATGAATTTGAGAAACACTGCCACAAATGAGGCTGTAGACAGGGACACAGAATATGCTTGGAGTGCTGGAGGGAGAAGGGCTTGGGTCGTTGCGTCCTGCTCTACACTGTCTCAAGCACATGGAAGATAACTACTCATAACCAGTAAAAAACCTGACAAATACATAATACAGTATCTTTGCCTGCTGGGATTGTGCTGTGGGCTTCCTCTTGTAGTTAAAATGCTCCAGTTTTCAGGCTGGCTGTATTCCTGAGCAATGTGCAGCCATAGGTGCTCTTGCTAAATGACTACCTTAATTTTTTTTTCCTTTTTTATAAATTACACTTGCACCTAAGGCACTTTAAGTAGTTGCTGGTGGTTTCACCTGTTCTTCCCCCATCTTGAGTCCTGTGTACTGCTGTGTTTTTTAGATCATAGAATTTTAAATGTTTACATGTGCCTGATTGGTTTTTAATAGTTTTCTTGGTGATGACCCACCACAGTAATTAAGCCTGAGGTGCCTAAGTTCGAGTTCTTCAGAAGCCAGGAAAGTGAAAAATTACCATGGTTCGTGTTGCTTCATTAGAGTCTCTGGACAGCTGTGCTGTGCACATATGTAGTTCATGCTGTCATTTATTAAATATAATCCTTTGTTTAAATATCAAGTAGTTTAATGTGTTAAAATACATCAGCAGTAGTCTCTGTTCATACAGCTGTGTTGTAACAAGGTTTTCCCCTACAGCGGCGTCAAGAGTCATGAACATTTGGCTGGGAGCTGCCTTGCCAGACTAGAAAGATCAAAATAAATCGGATTTAATGTGGCAAAGTCATATGAAATACTTGAGACGTGTCTGGGTGTCCAGTGGTGCTGGCTGGAACACCACTCGCCCGTGCTTTAAATCCTGGCCAGGAATGTGTGTTGCTTTGGCCAAAATGCAGTTTGTTTACTTCCCTGGGAAAGTTCTGTTAACAAAACAGAGTAAGGCTGGTCAGAACTGCTGTAGCAGTTTCTGATGTACATTTCTGATGTTGACTCAATTATTTTACAGCAGTAAGGGCAGATAAGCTGCGCCGGTGCCAACCCTGATGCCCCTGGTGTGGTGGGGTTGGCCAGAGAAGAGCAGCTGCTGTTTGGGGGGGGGGGGTCAGGCCCGTGGCCTCACCCCTGTCCTGAGTGTCACTGGGGCTTGGGTGGAGGGAAGGGACCCCAGCAGCCAGCTGCAGTGGGGTGGGGGGGGGTTCACAGTGGCTGAGCAGGTTTACAATGGAGAAGGTTGGTGCTGCATTAAAAGCTGCTGAGTGCTGCTGTTCACTGTCTTGTGCAATCAAGCAATTGGGTACAGGGTAATCTGAGGTATTTCACTCTCTGATTTGACTTCTTTGTGGTATTGTCCGGGGTCTGAAAAGGCTTCAGCAAGAAGAGGTTTTGTGGTTTCTCAATAGCCGCACTGCAAGGGGCTGGGTTTCGATGTCTTTGTCTCCACAGCTATTGCAGGCTTATGCAGCCTTTTTTTCCCTCAAATTCTGTTATTTTCCAGTAACTTGTCCCAGTTTCTTTTCCATTGTTGCAGCATGGGCTGCTTCCTATGTGAAACTGTTCCAGCCTGAATGTGAGTCCAGCATTCAACCAATGTGCTGAACTTCACCTCCTACAACTCCCTTTATAAGCCAACTGTGTTTTGCTTTCTGTATTGAGATGGGATGTGTTTTGGAGGATGGCAAAAAGCCCCCTCAGCTGTTCTCATCACCTGGTAGAGGACTGGCAAGGAGGTTTTTCCTCCAATGGCTGGGCACCATGCCAGCGGGTTGTCCTCTAGCTGGCAAAGCTGATCACCTGGTTCTACCAAATGTTCCATTGCTCTGAGTAGCTCCTATAATTAAAAAAAAAATAAATCAGAGACTGAGGGCAGGCAGGAGGTCCCATGTGTATGGTGTTAGAGTCCCATCCCACCCAGGCAGCAGCGTTTATCTGCCATCATGTCCTTCTGCCATGGGGGCTTCTCTGAGCTGTGCTGCTCTGCCAGGGCTTGGGAACGGTGTGGGGGCTGTGACCCCCCACCCAGGCAGGATGGTGACCGGGTGCCCCATCAGTGGTGCTGGGGCAGCCCTGGGCTTGGCCCCGGCCACCTGGGAAGAGCAAACACTCACTGAAATGGTTTCACAATGTTTGCACAAAAAAAAAAGCAACCTTTGTCCTGGCCATGAGCGGGCTCTGCTCTGCGGCGGGGGCGAAACCCCGCTATCGGAGAAGGGAGCTGCTGCTTTCTAAGCTGAAGGAGGATGATTTCTGCGGGTGGGTGTCTCCCTGGCTTGCTTGAACATCAAACCTGGGAGCAGTGACAAATGGTTCCTGCGGTAACGCCAGCGCGCTGAAGCCACAACCCAGCGCTGCAGGTGTGAGGGTGCCAAGCTGCTGCAATCCATTGCTCAGGATGGGAGTTGTTTTTGTTTTTTAAATACTTTTTCCCCCGAGGGGCTTTCTGGGACAAGAAGGGCTGGAGCCTTCCCTGGCCTGTTGCTGTTTATCATCCCTCAGCTTGCAAGACGGAGCAGGGAGAAGCTCCAAATCCTCGTGAGCAGCTCCTTGGCTGTGCTCGCTGCGGCTTCTCCCGGCAGAGCCGGGGAACGATGTGCTGCCAAGAGTAAAAATAGTGCCGCCACCGCCGCGCCGCTGTAAAGCCAAGCGGCCGCAGCAGCCCCTGCAAGGCGGCAACACAGGGCCACCACGGCTGCTCCGCGGTCAGTGCTGGCCCAGGCCGACCGTGCCCTCCATGCCATGCGGTGCTTCCCGGTGCCCGTAAAATAGTTCCTCCTCTTTCGTGATTTATTGGCATTAAAAAAATATTTCCACTTGAACCACGCTAACACCAGTGCCCCCGCGGCTCCCCTGGGCCCTGGCTCTTGCCCATCCATGGCTGCCTTTTCCAGGAGCCTCGGTGCGTGCCAGCGGCCGAGACACGACGCGAGCGGCGCAGGCGGTGACGCAGGCCCCGGGGATGGCGGCAGCCGCTTCCTTCACCCCAACCAGGCCTCCCTGGTGCCAGAAGAAAATCCTTGCTGCAGCTGCCTCGTTAACCAGCTCGCTGCCTGACCCCGCAGAGCTGCGGGCAGGCCTGCCGGCATCCCTGCCTGCCCCACTTGCCCTGAGCCAGCGGCCATTTGCGGGTGCTGGCGTGGAGCTCGACGCGCCCACGGCACCCACAAACCCGCAGCTGCGGGTTTGGGG